TATGGATTCAAAATAGCAATCGCCTTTACGTGTATTTGTTAGAAGACCCCTCTAGATCTACTCATAAGTAAAAACTGGTATTCACCTAGAATGACTCTCAGGGAATGTGGTAGCCCTTTGCATAAAAAGGACTTTCTTCCGTTGGAGCTGAAACCCTAAAGTAGACCTAAAACCTTGAAGTTGATCTTGCCAAGACGCCGCGCAATCTATTCACTTCAGAATACCAGTAATATTTGAACGTGCAATCATAGAGTGACCTATGATTGAGAGCCGTACGTGTCGCCATTTCTGCCCATTCATATGAGAAAAACTGGAAAGTTCTACTGTTCTGAGTGCAATACGATCCTCAAATATAGAATTCGTTTAGGTAATTCAAGCTTATAGTCCTTCTCCTCTACTTGCTAGAAGCTCATCATTCAGGCCGATGCCAGACTTTGCGAATCCAGCGACGCTAGCGAGCATCGCACCAGCGGATCGAGCTGTGTACCAGCGGATCGAAGTATATACCACCGGTGCACCAGCGACTCAACACTGTCAAAGTTGCGGGAATTCCTTTGAACATTGGGTCCCGCCACGTTCAAAATCGCTGGCATATAGTTCTTTCGGCTGATACACTGCTCGATTCGCTGGTGCAACGCTCGTATCGCAGGATTCGCAAAGCCTGACATCGGCCTTACAGGGGAGGTCGTTCAGGGTGTGCCAAGCTTTTTCAAAATGGTTTCTTGCATGATTGGGGCACATGGGGACCACAGAACCATGGTTCATTTTTCCTGAACGGCCCTCTGAATACCAGAAAAGGGGTCCCTAGTTCGATTCCTCGTGGTGACAAATTTTTGCATTTCGAGTTGACGTTTCAAAATTCGCGCAAAATGGAGTTAGCATGAATAATTAGTACCATATTCATGATTAGGACCGTCAGTAACCCTTACAAATAGACTTTGATTGAAAAACTGGTGAAAAAGGTGTGACTAGGGACCCCCTTTTCTGGTATTCAGAGGGCCGTTCAGGAAAAATTAACCATGGTTCTGTGGTTCCCGCATGTGCCCCTATATCATGCAAAAGACCGTTTTGAAAAAGCTTGGCACACCCTGAAAGACCTCCCTTGTTAGTGATCACAATGGTTGAAGGGTGGAGCGGTTCTGATGACGCTATTACGTGCCATTGGTGGAACGGCAGTGGGGGTGCTTCTAGCCAACCCCCAGCGCGCTGTAGTACTGTTGACCAATGGTGTTCAATTACGTCATCGAAACCGCTCCACCTTCCAGCCATCGTGTCCTTTGCCTTCGAATTGCTATATCAATCGTTCAACTTCTTGGAGTCCTCAGTTTAGAAATAAGTCCCGAGGTAGGGATGGCAACGAGTGGATGGGCGAATGCTTTACTTTTTTGTAACGCTATTGTTTTCTCTCAACAACAACGCCCATTCTATTTAGAACTGAAGTTCTTTATCAAAGACACGCAACAAAGCTGTCCGTCTTTCAAAGAACCATAAAACAACCGCGTGATACGCATTAAACGCGTTCGAACGGCAATGGCCATAAAACAAGAACAATGGGTTCTTTTACGCAGCTGATTGCCTTTCGTAAACATCTTTTTTAAGGTCGGAGTTTCGTCAGTGCATTTGGCGTGGAATCGAAACATCGACATTCAAGCAGTTGATAGGTAACGAATGATTCTTCACATTAGAAATCTGTATAGGAATTGAATTATAAAACATTCTCATGGCAATAGCCTATAGGCGCTGGGCCGGAGCAGATGTCAGACTTAGCGAATCGCAAAGCCTCACGCCTGCTCTAAAGCATCTGAGATGCTCGATACTACACAAAGGGAGTGTTAAATGTAACACGATAAACGAACATGCCCCTACCGTGTTTTCATCCATACTTTACTTATGAAGGCTGGAGTAAGGGGATGGAGGGGTCCCATCAGTGTCCCGATACAGTTTGTGTCATGTTTTTCCGAATTCTGGAATAAGAGCATTGTTGTGAAAACTACACTGACCTCAATAACCATCACATGTTTACTCGAGTGCATGCAGAGCATTCTAGTGCTAGTAAGTGATCATGCTTCCGTAAAAAAAAGCGCGATCCGGTTTCCGAGTTCTTGAAATCTATCCTCGAGAGATTTTGAGCGTTTTTAAACAGTCGCTTTACCTGTAATTGAATTTGGAAACGCTTCAGGCGCGAAAGTTATCTACAGAACTCTCCGGATTGTTCACACAAATTTACGCTGCAGCTTTTCAAGGCCTTGACTGACCTGTCCACATGTCAGTATCCCTTCTTAGCAATGGGAGATTTCAATATGCCGGATGTTGACTGGACTGGCAATGATAAACGTAATATTAGTAGTCTTGCTGGTACCATTTTGCGCTTATGCAATAGTTATGGTTTACAACAGTTGGTCCTCAATCCAACCCGCGGAAAAATCATGTCTTGGACTGGTTTTTTGTAACAGGTTGAATTAGTGCAAAATGTGATCATAGGTCCTCCGCTGGGATCTAGTGATCATTTTTCTGTTGCGTTCAACTTTTACTTTCCTAAGTACAGTTGTTCTCCCACGTTGTGTAAAAGATTTGCAAAGGCAGACTACGCTCAAATTTGTGACTACCTCGCCAACATTGACTGGTATGGATCATTTCGCTGCTGTGGCAGCGTAAACGAAATGTATGAACTATTCATTTTTATCCTTAGGCATGTAATTGAGATGTACGTTCCTGTTGTTAAAATCCAAGGCAAGAGACCGTTTTTTCCATCATATCTTGTGCATTTCTCAAAACTATGTTCAGAGGCCTGGACGCATGCAGTTGAATCTAAGGATCCTGAGGACATGGATAGTTACCTACGCTTAAGAAATCGCTTCCTAAAAAAGCTTAACAAATTCAATCTCGAGTGTTGAAAAAAAGGTCATATATTCAAATAGTAGGTCTGCTTTCTATAAAATGTTATCGGTGAAGCTTAAAAATCGTAATGACATCTGTACTCTCAAGGATGGTGAGGGAAACCTTGCATTTTCGGACCAAACTAAAGCTGAGTTTTTGGCAAATCATTTTGAGTCTGTGTTTTCAGTCTCAAATGCTGTTCATGATCCATCTCTTGTTTCCTCAGTGCCTTTATTCCCTGCTATGGATCAATGCTTTTGGATCCTTGAGGACGATATCTTAAAATGCATCCAGAAATGGCCTAGCTCGTATTCTCTCACTCCGGATGGTATACCTTTGTATTTTTTGAAGCGAGTTTCAGAGCAAATTTTAAGTCCCCTAAGGTACATCATGAATCTTTCTCTGATGAGGAGTGAAGTCCCTATCATTTGGAAGCATTCTTTTGTTACTCCCATTCCTAAAAAAGCTCCTTATGATGTACCAAGCAGCTACAGGCCTATAAGTATCACGTCAGTCATTGCTAGGGTGTTTGAAAAAATAATCAAGAAAAGAATTACCGCTCATCTTGACAAGTATCATGTGATTAGCCCTAATCAACATGGCTTTGTCAAGGGTAAATCCACTGTTACGCAGTTGATTGAATGCCTCAATGATTGGACTTTGGGGCTAGATGCCAACAAAGCTGTTCATGTTGTATACTTCGATTTCATGAAAGCCTTTGATAAAGTACCTCACGATAAGCTACTCCTTAAGCTGGATAGGGTTGGTATCCGTGGTATTCTTCTCAAATGGTTAAGTGAGTTCCTCACCAATCGAACGTTTCAAGTCCGTATTAATGATTATTTCTCGGAAAGCAAAAATGTTGTGAGTGGAGTACCGCAAGGGGGGAGTCTGTCTCCTTTGCTATTTAACATTTATATTTTCGAACTTAGCTCTCTAATTACGTCCTTAGGAGTCGATTGCAAGATTTTTGCCGATCTAAAAATCTACAAGATTATTGAATCCGATACTGACTCCGCCAATCTTCAGAAAGCTATTGACATTGTTAATGATTGGTCCAAAAAATGGGAGCTTCCCCTATCCGTGGAGAAAACAAAGGTTTTGATTCTCTCGCGCTCTCCTACGACCTCCTCCTCTTATCACATTGACGGTAGAATTTTGCAAACTGTAGATAAAGTCATGGATCTTGGTTTCATAATCTGCCGTAATCTCAGTTTTGATGAGCACATAAATATGATTGTCAACAAGGCTACTAATAAGACCTATAATTTTTATAAAGCCTTCACTTGTAAGCACTCAGAAGTTATTCTTAGAGCCTTCAAGACATACTATCCGTCCATTGTTGGAGTATGGGACAGTTATTTACTACCCTTACAAAAAATCCCTCATCAAGGCTCTAGAGAAGGTTCAAAATGATTTTACTAGAAAACTGATGATTAGGATCCATGGATATGACTATACGAAAATACCCCCCAAGCGCTTCCAGGAATAAAATTCTTGGTCTACAAACTCTTGAAAATAGAAGGAAACGGTATGATGTACTCATGCTTTACAAGATTCTAAGTGGTGTGGTCTCTGTTGATAAGTATAAACTCTTCACTACAGGAGATCGTCGTACGCGTGGCGGAAATTTCAAGGTTTTTATCCCTAGACCCAATTCTAGGTACAGAAGCCAATTCTTCTGTCACCGTGCTGGTATGGAATTCAATAGGATAATTAAGCGGGGACAAATGCCCAAATCACTCGCACACTTCAGAAAACTATTGGCCCAACACTTGGCGTAGTTTCCTACTTCTAGTTCCTATGCCTCCCTTGTTCTGTTGTTTCTTTCCTTTTTGCTCTTCTAGCTTATTCCTTGTTATTACGTTCATATTTTTAATTTTTTTCTTTTTTTTTTTTCGCCTTATATCACTTAGTTAGTTCTTCGGATGGTTTCCATATATACTTCTCTTTGGTTTGTATACTGTTGCAAGTCCACACGAGCCAATCGTGTAATAAATCAAAATCAAATAATCAAAATCGGAAGGGCGGAAAGTGGTGTAGTGACAAGTGGCGCGCTCACCACGCGAGCGGTCCGGGATCAAATCCTGGGTCGTGAGTCGCCCGGGCCAACCAAGCCTTCCATCCCTCCGGGGTCGGTTAATTGGTACCAGACTTGTCTGGGAGGATAAAAAACACTGACTTGAACATCGGCTGGCCCCCGCAAGTCATTGCATAGGCCACATCGCAATTCCAATTAAGCCAACTACGAATGTACCAGAATGGAAAGTCAGATATGCGTGCGATAAAAGAGAATCCCAATGAACGAATTGATCAACGGCAAATGCTTTATCCTTTTTCATCCTTTTTATTCTGCCGCGCCATGAATTCGAGGACCTTTCACAATCGTGAAACTTTTTGAATGCTAATTAAGCCTACCCAATTGCTCGCGAGAGAAAAAAAGAGTGAACGACGTGGTGCTCTCGCGTCTCTCCCAATAACAGTGACAGCATCCAAATGATTTTGCGGAGGATTTTGGTTGGTTTTGATGCGATTTGACCCCCGGACCCTACCTGTGGCAGGGCCACTCCCGCATTCTCAATTACTTCGTTGATGTGAAAACCAGGCTTTACTCTAGGGAGGACAACTTCATACAACCTGGATACTCGCGCTCTTTCTTCTGAAAGTCCTTGCAAAGTAAGAGGGGAAATTTGTTCCAACAAATTAATTTTTCACTTTGAACTTTCCTCAATCAATTGGGGTCCCTCTTTCAATGCTTAGGAATTCCAGCTCAAATGTAATAACATATTATTATACTATACTATAATAATATAATTTAGTTCTGGAGAATCTTTATCTCGACTGCTGCCACTTGATTAACGTTCAGTGCTCCCTAATTTTACTGATGCTCAGATGTGAATTAATGTAGCGCACCTAAGCGTGCAATAAATAATGAAATAAATATCGTTGCTTGAGAATACCATTTATGTGAGGAGACACTTTTTCTTACAAGGTTCCCAAATAATTTTTCTGGAATTCGATCGTTAGCTTCGATTTTTCAGAGTTGCCCTGCAGGTGAATTCATCAAGCGCAAGCGACTTCAAACGAGTCGTGCTGCTCTCACTTCACAATATCTACTGCAGTTACAACCTGATCAACCTTCTACCAGACAGGGTATGTTTACATAAATGACTTGCACAGATCGCTTTCACGATTGTTCTCATAAGAATGCCGGGATATAGACGGAACTTTTTTCTTTTCACTTTTCTAAATAGTTCCCACGATTGTCTTCCATAATATTCAGAGCCAGAAAAGACAGCTATTCGAATAATCATTCCGCTTCATGAAAACAAATTGAAAAACACAGTATACATGAGATGAACTTAGGCAGTCGCACGACTTTATTAGCTCTAGCTCCATGTGCCTTCTAAACCGAGAGTCTAAACGTTCAATCTGAAATTTGCGACATAGTCGCTCCTGCCAGCTGATTTCGCTGAACAAGGGAGGGATTATTAACCATGTGATGGCTCAACTGTTCTCGAAGGTATCCATAGGCGTGGGGCATATGGAAGGATGAGCCATGAATCTTCTACCGTAGATTTGTGACTTTTAGGCTTCTAGGAAGTGGAAACCAGCTGATTGTTGGACGTACTATCCTCCATCAACCAAAGTTTAAGCTAATCAAGTCGTACGTTGTTGTGGTTCTAATTAAAGGAATCCTGTATTGTGGCTTACACATCAGTCACACAATTTTGTGAAGAAAAATAAATTGGTACCTGATTGTGAAATCATTTTCTTCCTTTACAGGTCTACACAATCTGCTTACGGTGGTCTCTAACCGATGATGGAACTGACATTCACAGCGTATGTCTGTCGGAGAGAACTCAGAGAAGCCGTTCGATTATGGAAGACCTGGGGGTCGAAGGAATAGTTGTTATTTGGTAGGTGTTGTTTAGCTTCTTCGTAGAAAAAGAAATGCACTAACAAAGACAAAGAGTGGTCACTTCTATACTCTCAGGTGTCCCGAAGGAGTACTTTAGTACCTCTGGTGATTCAAACGTGGTCAAGTGGGATGGAAGTAAACTTGCGCGACATTATCTGCATTTAGTTGCAACAGCCTAGGTTCACAAGCCGGTTTTAACAGTCCGATGAGTGACCGCTACCGTAATCCACGTTGGCACTGGAGCGCGCAGCTACACTACTGCTGTGTACCCACACGTTTCAGCACCAACGTGAGAGGGTATAATGCCTCGCTGGCGAGTGCACAATACCCCCAACCACCACAGCCACCCTAGGCTGCGCACGCTTCGCGCGCAGGGCAAGGGAGGTTAGCCCCGGGGTGCCGCCAAACTACTTGCCGGCAAGTTCGACCACTGCCATACTCCTCCTATATACCAGCACGGACGCTCCGTACAAGAGCCAGGTTCTATCACGCCCATTCTGTCGCCGTGGAGTGCGCGGAAAAACGACAAAAGGGCACGTCGAATTCTAATCGATGACACGTGACGTTGCGCGCCAACCAGTCACGTGTTACGGTTGCGGTCACTCACCGGACTTTGTAATCTCACTAATCCTAAGTTCCAATCTATTTAACTACATTCCAAGATATAGAGAAAACGTGATACAAGTGCTTGTTATTCAGCAAGGCCTCAACTGAACCAGAAAATGAATGAGGGATTGTTTCGAACTCCTTTCTTTCTTTCCGTTCAATCTGTGCCATAAAAAGCAGGCTAAAAACACACTCCTAATGTAAACCTCCATGGCGTGCGAGAAATTATATCAAGAAAGTCTATGTTATTAAAATCATCAGTTAGTAATCTGACTCAAAAGTTCAATCTTAAACTCGGAAATTGCTGCAGTGGGAGTCAGCGCAAGATAAATATCTACCAAAAATAAGAATCCTTATCTACGTTATATTGTTTCTAACATTCCCATTTTTATTTGCATTTCTTTGGTGAAACAATAACTGCGGGAGGTCTACTTGAGCCATTGGCCAATACCCTACAAATACGGTAAATATTTACTGATTTCCTCATTAGTTGTTTAGATAGAATATAAATGGAAATAAAGATAATAGTCAATCAGAGTTTAAAACCTGCAGAGTGATCTTTATCTTGGCGCTTCTAATGCAACGGTAGCATTTGCCGGGCGGCCAGGTGCGTTTCCACTGCAGGCATCACAACACAAGTGACGACGGTCCACATTAAATCTTTTGGGATACGGTCAAGAGTCCCCCGCGACCGCCGCGCCGAAACTAGGTCACCGCGCGCGACGTCGCCGGCGTTTTTGCAGTTTGAAACATGGCAATTGCCAAGTTTAGGACCCGCCTCTCTAGACGATCGATACAACACTTTTTTGTTCCGTCTGTGTAGTCCCCATTTCTGCATTTGTTTTTGCTTAGTCCTAGCAAATTGCCACGTTCCAACTTGTAAGGACCGGTAGCCGCCGCGTGCGGTGACCTACTTTCGCTTGCGCGGCGACCTCAGGGGGACTCTTGTCTCGCATCCAAATGTTTTAGTTTTCTGCTAACGAAATTATTAGTTCCTTTCCTTATTCGAATTAATTCCTATCGATTGTCAATAATTACAGCAAACTTATTGCTATGAGCTATCACTATAAATTACTACTTAACAGAGTCATTAGAGGCCCTCGTCACTTGTGTTGTGGAGTCTGCAGTGCAGAATTCCCAGGTCATCGGTTCAAAAGGTGCGTATTATCTTATGTGGCACGAAAGTGCGTCCCTACATTTAGACGCCCTATGGCTACTGGCTTGCAGGATGCACCGTTTACATAGATTTTGGAGCTATCACAAGATACGGGAGCAACCTCTATGGCTAGGAGGGGCAGGAACTGTGGGGAAAATGCGTATGGCTCATGCAACCTGTAGTCTCTCTTATCCTGCTTGGAACTTAGTCCCGCTTTTAACCACAAGAAAACGTCTTACGCGGTTTTGACACCACAATGTCCCGTATCTTGCTATAGCGCCAAGTTTTTCCATGATGGCCTTATTTATCATGTATTGGAGAGCCCAGAGAACGTTCTGCTACTCATCAAGAGCCCTTCCTATGGAGTAGAAGCATGTTGTGATTTCACCCCTATCATCTTTAAAAAGCTTTCAAAATTTAATAAGAAAGAAACGTATCTATTTTTATTCTATTTTCAGCTCCATTTTGATTCTGGTATTCGTATTCTTCTGCGGTAAATGGACATACAATCGCTACTTCATCTATTTACGAGCACGACAACAGTGAGTTCCATAATCTGCTTTTTATTCTCACCTCTATACCTGACACCCTTGATAATCAATTCGGAATGAACGTGGCGAGCTGTTTACAGGGGGTGCGGAACGCTCGCCTGTCAGCTGTTATCATCTGTACGCCGATCTTTGATTTAATAAAACGAAAACGTTTTAGATCGAAAATGATCCAGTCTGTATCGGGACAATCAGTATTGAGTCAACGAAGCAGCGATGATGCGATAACATTTGAGAACCACCAACTTCAGGTGAGATCCATCACAGTAGAGGGAAAGGATTTTCTATCTACAAGTTTGAGTACGCCCGCTGTTGCACCATGAACGTCTTATCATTGCAAATTCCAGGATTAAATTATTGAACTAATTTCTGCCTTGAGCGAGGAAAACCTGAGATGACAACTGCAAAGGCAGTACCAGTTTTGCAACTTGAAACGGGTAGCAGCAGCGTTATCAGCTCGAAACAGGGTCAACCGTCACGTTGGACCGATTTCGAAAATTTTACGACCCCCCTCCCCCTTCTAGAGGGCCTCGATACCCTCCCCTGCCATCGCCATCATGGGGCTCATTCTATAGTATTCGATTCTGAGACCAGTCGACACAGCCCAAACTCCGCCCACTTTTTCCTTTTTCCTCCAAATACGACACCCCCCCCCACCCCTCGTCAGACTTTGTCCAACGCACTGTTAGTCCTGGCTCGAAATCTGCAGCCATGGACACCTCTCGTCACCAGGCTCGACTACCGTAGCAGCATCTGCTGCCTCGCTGTTCTGCTATACTCTCTTGTCTCGCTCTGTCTGTATTTCTGCTCGGCGTCCGCTGTCTCAACCCTCCTCTAATCTATCCCCAAACTTCGTCCATTCCACACCTGATGAAAAGAGTAGGAAACCGCGCATTTTAAAATCTTGAGATGCCGCATTCATCAAGAGATCTGTGTGGGGTGGCACAACAAGCTCACGCAGCAGACCAAGTGTCCCCCGTAGTCGGGCGACATTTGCCATTAAGTGGTAAAAATTGTAGTACAAGTTGTCAGTAATGGAAGTGAAACCCTCCACGAACCTTTTGCTCAGCCACTTTTGTTTCAGATGTGTTCTTCGTTTTGTGACAGAGACAGCATGGCTCATGGACCACTTCTGATCAATGTTACGTGACAGCAAACCAGCGGATCAGCAGCGACGAACCTGCCGACGTCATCATCAGAAAACGCCAACCCGTCAGTGTTTCCATCATTGTCGGGCCATTAACGGGTACTCTCATTGGATGGGATTTTGTAACGCTTTTGATAACTTTGTAAGGCTAGCAGTAGTTTCAGTTGTAAAAAACACAAGTGCCTGTTGTCCTTTTTCGAAATTTATTTTTGAATTACGAGTATATTCCCAAGGAAATTGATCTCGTGTGGTGACGAACTTTGGCAATATCTCTGGTAGCCATTTAGTACCGCTGTGTTGCTTTAAGTTCTCTTCTTTTTTCAGAGTTTATATGAGACCTCATTGATCCGATTTAACTCATAACTTACTTTCGGATGATGCATTTCATATGTGTGATTGTTATAGCTTGCCAAATCGTATCTATTTACATTTTCTCTAATCCTGAAGTAGATCTTGCATACTCGTCTATATGGTGCTCTAGCTCTTCATTGCATCTCAGCTGTCTTGATTGTTGTGAAATATTTATTGAACAGAGTTGAGCTTATCCTGTAGCTTTTGAAATACAGAAATATTCCATAATGAGAGGTGGCAAAAGTTGCCACCGTCATGAACGAGTATTTGGAGCGCTGCACGCAAACGATGGGGTTTATTGGTTTTTGGAGGTTACTTTTTTTTAAATTTTGAGCTAGCTTTGATGAATTGGCTCCATAATGCAATCCTAGCGCAATTTTCGTTTTAATTATCATCATAACTTCTTTCGAGATGAAAGAATGGATGAGGCGATTTGCGATAACCAAAATCGTTCTGGGTTGCGCTACGCAATCTAGTCCCATTCAAAAGCGTAGTGGCAGTTGAATAAAGTATAACCGACAGAAACTACAATACTTCTCATAACTACAGTACCTCCCTCGTAGTAGAGCCGACATATACTACATATCTGTAATGGCTGCTGGAGTCCAGCAGATGTTCAAGTGAGTATCCTTATCCTTCCTAAGGTGCTCGACGAACTATTCAGGAGATATGAAGTTTAGTCTTGAGTTTCACTCCCAGAACCATGCAATTCCAAGCACATTTACTAATATTGGTACACGCGTGATTTTTTACAATGGAAGAACGAGCAGCGGCCATCTAGCCTCTGAACTTTTCTAGGCAAAGGCGCGACCATCGAAGATTTCCTCAACAGTATGCCATTTTCTAGTGCATCAACTAATGACCATTAGAGTTCGAGACTATGCAATGAAACCCACCGCAAAGGTCCGGGGCGACGCTGTCTCTGGCATTGATATGTTATTAAAGGCAGCGATTACGACAAAAAGGGAGCGCATCGGGAAAGCATATCCACCACACGAATCAGTTACTGGCTCCAAAAGTGAAATATCGCTTCGCACAGAAAGTGGGCTGTGTTGACACGATTCGAAAAAGCGCTCCCCCCAGAAGCGATCCGCCCACTAGCTTACTTGTTGATTTGGACGAGCTGCGTGGCCAGCAGCGGCGCAAATGGAGCATCTCGATTAAAGCGTAGTTTGGCATGGTGCCATCAAACGCGTTGCGGTGAACTCGTTCATACGTCCATTTTCTGAGCTGTTACTTGTTCAGGAGTGAAAACCAACGGCCAATTAAGGGGTTATCGTTCTGCGCATTCTTGACGGATTTTACTGGTTTTTTCGCTTTTAGGCGTACCATTCAGCACCCCGCGTCACAGTATACTCTTGAAACTATCGGATGTTGGCCTTATAAGGGCTCTCGAACAAAAACTTTGTCGCCGTTGAAACTTTTTATTCGTGCTTCAACTCCGCCCGCAATGTTGTCATTTATCTGCCAATTCAGCTTATTTGTCTTTAGCTAACATTCGCAAATGACTCACTTCTTCCACGAACTTTTGATGGTCATTCAGTAGCTGCTATGATAAGTTAGGCAGGCACTGAGCCAGTGATACGAAAATATCAAGTAGCTTTGCACGCGGCTCCTAGAGATACCATTTCTTCAGAGCTGACCAGCGCTAGGAACTACTATGATCATTCAGGAAAAACTCGCATCGCTGGGGTACCCCCCAGGAGGCCCATCGCGCGGCAAGAAGGCAGAGTCGGCGGACGAGTCGCAGCGCGTGATGTGCGATGAAGGACGTGCAATGGGACATTCTATTTAACTTGACGCGATTTCCCTAATACGCGCGCAACTCGTCCGCTGACTCGGCCTTTTGCCGCGCGACGGGCCTCCTGGGGGGTACCCCGCATCGCTGTGCTAAGATATCAAAAATACAAAATTCTCTTTTTCTGCGCAATCAGTTCTCCATAGGCGCCCCCTACCTCATGAAATTGTCAAATTGTGACAGTTCTTTTTGCGGAAGTGGTACATATGTCAAATTGTTAGGGAACAAAACAGGCTCTGCGAGCGTAGGAGTAGGAGTGTCATTTTTCTCACCATCTCTGGATGTGTGGCACATCGTGAAATCCAAATTCGCGAAAGTTTTCTATACCTGCGGCTCTGGCTCGTACAGAAGCATCAGTTCACGTTCAACATAACATTAAGGCTGGTGTCAGAGTCGCGATATGTCGCGCGATCGCGCGAATCGCAAAAATCGCAAGTGCCCATTTGAACATTTGAAACACTGAATATGAAACAAGTAGAATCATGAACAGTCGTCATTCAACCATCACCATCAAGCAGAAATGGCGGCGGGATTGGAGAGCACCTCGCAGTACATTTAAATCGGGCACTTGTGATTTGTGTCAGTCGCGCGATTCAAGCAAATCGTGCGACTGATCGCGAACTCCGACACCAGCCTAAAAACGATTTGTTGCGCTTCACCAGGCGTTGTGGAGTTGTGTGAATACCTTAGCTATCATAAAAACCACCCCCAAACAGGGTCAAGCGTGCGTTGAGGAATCCTCGACATGTCACAGGGGGGGGTCGTATTGGCCCGCTGGGAAGAGATCGGGCCCGATTGATACAGTAGGATCATCGTCGGAGGACAAACATTAAGGATCGAATCGATACCAGGCCAGAGTATTTCCAATAACAATTGATTCCGTCCACACAAAATTTTCGTGATTCAGAGGTGTCCGCTAGCAATTCTTAGTTACTTCAGTGTTTTATCACCACACAAGTTAAAGAATCCGAAATTCGCACGTTTTCCAAGGGATATTTTATCTTTCAAGTGAGTCCTCGAATCTGAAGGGATGTGAAGCACACGGCGCATCCCAGAGTGGGCCCAGTTGGTTGCGCGCGCTTCAACTACGGCTCTCTGGAGAAAGAATCTCAATTCAGGAAAAATCAAGAGGATTCTGAAAGGGTTCATGTGAAATTACAGGGAGGAGTACACTATTCAACAAGAAATGCAGCCTTCAGCGTCAAATTCACAAGCATGTAAGTGTTAAAGTTGAGACCGCTAAACAATTTTACACTTTTTGGAAAGAAAAAAGCAGAGGATTTCGAATCTGCTCCTACTTTAGTACATAATCGCCCCTGAAAGGAGCTATAGTCGTTGAAATAGTGCCAATGCAGCGAAAAAGTACCTTTCGGCGGTACTCGGGCAAAAATCCTCAACGTGGCCATTTTTTAAATACTGGACGTATTAAGCTGTTTTAGTAAATGTTTGATAGAGAAAATCTTCTAGTTTTGTCTACCATATTAACTTTTGGGGCGGAAGTGGTGTAGTGGCAAGTGGCACGCTTACCACGCGAGCGGTCCGGGGATCAAATCCTGGGTCGTGAGTCGCCCGGGCCAACCAAGCCTTCCATCCCTCCGGGGTCGGTTAATTGGTACCAGACTTGTCTGGGAGGATAAAAAACACTGACTTGTACATCGGCTGGCCCCCGCAAGTCATTGTATAGGCCACATCGCATTCAAACGCCACTACGAATGTACAAATGGAAGTAGAATGCGTGCCGCATCCCAAAAGGGATTGATCAACGGCAAATGCTTTATCCTTTTATCCTTTTTATTAACTTTTCAGATTGAAGTTAAAAGCAAGTTATGGCTTCGGAAAGTGTAAAAACTCGTGCTCATCTCGAATTTTCCTCGTTAATTGATCTAAATTTGTTATTTCTTATAACTTTTTGTAATTTCAGTACTGATTAGAAAGAAGCTCTTCACAAAACTTCCAAATCTGCTTTCAGATTGAAAATTCGTCATATTTGAAGAAAGTTATAATCATTTGAATATTTGTTCAAATTTCAATAGTAAATAAGCTGCTCCACGGTCAACGCCAAAGTCCAGTCAACACACAGCTGGCGAAGGCGGTTACTAGACTTCTTCCAACTAAAAGGGGTACGTGTAAATTGAGAACCACACTGTGTAGTCATTGGTAAGTCTTCCGAAAGAAAAAATAAAGAAAAGATTTTGTCATTTTTTGCTCCCTGTCTCGTTTGCTCGTTTAGTAACTCTCCAAATCGATAGTGATCATTCCTCGACTTTTTTGCTTTTGTACTTCTTGAGCGAATTCTTTTGGTGAAGCCTGGGGTAGCAGGGCTTTTATGCACAGTTGTGGGGAGCTACACTTAAAACAAAATTAAACAACTTTTCCATAGGTCGGCTTCGCGAGTCGCTTTTCATGGACTCCGCTCTGGGAGAGGCCGGTGAATAAGGTGCACGGGGTGTTTTCAAAGTTTCTTAACTGTGTCGCGTCACGCTATCTCATAATTTCCCTCACGCCTCCGCCTGAGCCTGCCCCATTGTGGGGCGCCATACATGTATAGCAATTTTTTTCAGTCGTCACGATCACTTGCAAAATGTCGCTATCTTAGGCCCAATAGCATTTAATGATACCATGGGATTCGAAAATGAAGCGTGATCCATGCAGCTCTAGAGGAAAGCTAAAACACCCCATCGATCCTCGCCGTCCGCGGGCGCTTACCGCCCATATCTCACCCCACAAAAAATTGCCTATCGCGTACAGCCGAAACGTACAGTCGATAAAATCAGTAGTGTGCCTAGAAATTTTGTACGACGCGGCTCATTTTATTGATTCTATAGTTACTGGCGATGAAAGTATTCACAGCACA